CTAGACAGATTTATTCATCCCACACAGTTCTACAGATTTTACTGTAAATTTAAAGCTTTTTGAAAACTAGCAGCTTCTACTAATCTGTTTATCTACGTCCACGTCGACCAGATTATACAGCATACACACACGAGTTTGGTTTTAGGCCTGTAGGTTTGAGGTAGAAGAAAAGAACAACAAAAAATCTCACACATATTGTTCAATCTGCTCTCTCTCACACACACACACACACACACACACACACACACACACACACACACACACACACACACACACACACACATACAGTGAATGGGGTCTGGCTGTCAGTTTGTGTTTTGTCAGCAGCTCCAGTGGGAGAGAGGCCATTTTTGACAGTTGGCTGGAATGGTGTACACACACACACACACACACACACACACACGCACGCACGCGAACACACACACACACACACACACACACACACACACACGGAGCCAAGCTATTTCCTGTTTTCTTATTTCACCTCCATGTGACCTGAAATGTTCAGCGTTCACTGTTTTCCTCTTTAGTGCTGACACACTCTGTTATTTGAGCACAACGTCCGTCTCTAACCCAACACTCTGCTTCATTCACACTGATCGCACCTCCTGGGTCCAGTCATGTAATGACCGCTCAGGCCTCTGGGGGTCACTAACATGCCTTTAAGACTCCTTTAACAACACTGTGCACTTTATTAGGAACACCTGTACACCTGCTTATTCAATCAATTATCCCATCAGCCAATCACGTGGCAGCAGAGCGACACAGGTCAGGAGCTTTAGTTGGGGAGGGTGAAGCTTCTTCCCGACTGTGACCGTTAGTCAGAACGACAGCAGCCATTCAGTGACGTGCAGTCATCACATAACTTTGTGTTATAAAAGCCTAACAGTTGACACTGTTACAACAAGGATGTAGTTCTGGATGTTCTGATCACACTCATTAATTCTTTTAAGTCGCTGCACTAATTGTGATCCCTCCTGAATTTTAAACATAGATACCTGCACAGACTCAGTGTTTGTTAGAGGAACTTTAATCAGATCAGATTCTCTTTAAATAACATGAATTCTGTATCCAGTCACACTGGCCTGTGGTCAGTCTGAGTGAATACCTTCTTTATTTTATTTCTTATATTGTATTTCTTGAACTTTTGCCATTTTAATTTTTTATGATGTAAAGCATTAAGCATTTCTTTATCTGTGAAAGGAGCTACATAGATAAACTTTTACTTACTTACTTCACCTACTTTCTTATGGTGAATGTAAACGTAGCTCTGGACTGTCTCTGGCTCTAGTTGTTGTTGACTCATCAGGCCCCAGAGACTTCCTTCCTGCAGGTGTCCTGAGGTCACTACTGCTGGACTGCAGTGACAGAGTGGGGGGGGGGTGTAACGTTTTCACATTAATTTTGGTGCAGTCAGTTCAGTCGAATCAGCGACTCGCTGCTCCGAGCATTTGATTCCATGAGAGAGAAAGTTATTTTCTCTGTTACGGAACATTTTTAACGTAGATTTAGATCTTTACATTATTGTTCCCAGTGTCACTCCTGAGCACTACACACTGTCTGGCTGTATGACGACATCTTGAGAGGGATGACCTTCAATCCAGATGAAACAGGTCAATTAGTTCATACTCCTGTAGGATAAATCTAAGCAGATCACAAGTGAGACCCCCCCCCAGGTGTGATGCACCTGGGGCCTTTCCCACAGCTGTAAATGAAGCTGCAGGTGGTCAAACCACCAAGCTAACACCTGCTAACACCAGCAATGTGAAAGGCTTCACTCAGCATGAACTCCTGGGTTAAATGGCTCAGCAGTAGTCAGTGATGTAAACATGACACCCAGGTGAACACTGTAAACACACCTGTCCAGCACGGAGCTGTTAAACCAGAAACACAGCGGCTGCATCCTCCGCTGAGAGGGAGGTGCAGCCCCGAAATAAGTTTGAAAAACACTCAATCACAGACTGAAGCATCTCACACGGAGGCTCTGACACTCGGGAAGCTCTGACCTGGGGGTGAGACGTGACTCAGTTTGAATCTGTGTGTGTGTGTGTGTGTGTGTGTGTGTGTGTTCGTTCACCCACATTTAATAAATCCTTTATTCACTCATTTTGGTGTAAAATGAATATCAGTTGTGAGGCCGGCAGCAGCTGATTGCTGACCGGTGTTTACATTTACAGAACCAAATCTGTCGGGAGGAAGCAGAGATAAGGCGACTAATGGCCGCTGGTTAACCTCTACCACTCCCTTTTACTCTACATGGAAGTCATGTGACCTCAGCTGGACAACATGAGGGCTGTTCAATGCTTTTAACTTCAGAAGTCACAACTGGCCATTGAACACGTGTCCCAGTCGGGTTCGTCACTTTTTAGTGTCCCCTGGAAACACCTCTTGTGTTGCGTCACGTGTCCCGAGTGGACCTCGAGTTAAAGTTATTAATGAACTCTGTTTGGTTTAAAACTCATAGAAAGAAGTGAAGTGAGTTGGTGGCACAAACAACCCGTTGAGATCTAGACGTGGAGTTTAATAACGAGATGCAGGCTGAGGTTTGGTTTCCTAGGCGAATATCATGATTCACTTTTATTAAAAGCATCATAGCTACAATTCATCATACATGATGTCTCCAAAAAAAGAAAAAAAACAAAAGAAAAACCCAAAACAAAAAAAGACACACACCAAAAATAAAAGAGGGAAAAAAAAAACATTTACATGGTATGTCTGTAAACTTCAAGGCTAGATAAGAATTTTGAGGTAATGCTCTTCAGCTTGCTGGCTAAAAGTAACAAAAGTCCATTTTTCAAGAAAAGTAGCTAAGTAATAAAGGTACCTGATTATTTTAACTCTTTAACACCAGTGCATCAACAGGAACAGAGTGAGACAAAATTGATTGCATTACTTATTTGTCATCATTTACAGTTTTAGTTTTGTTTTCTATTCATACGACACTTGTGGTTATTCATATAGAGAGAGAGAGTGTGTTGGGAGAGTAATGTTGGAACATTCAAAAGCTGCCTTGGTTATTGCTGTCTCAGCATTCGAGAGGAGAACGGGTCTTCCAGAGAGTTGAAACTCATCACCCCCACCCCCCCACACACACACACATACCCCCCCCTCAGTCCCGGTTCTCCCTCTCTTCATCTGCTGGGCTGGCTGTATTAGCAAATGTTAATAAGACCTGGCCACAGTGTGTGTGTTTGAATGTACTTTCAAATATTTGAACCACTTGCGGCGCTTGATTCATCTCAGACACTTAAACTGGCCTCAGGAATGGAAACAAATCAAACACCTGTCGCGCTTTTCAAGTATTTAAAACTTAAACCAGAGCTGAACTTCATATAGAAAAAGTTGTGAGTTTCCAACTCTGTTGAAAATGTGTCTCAGTCCTGTCTCGGCCAGGCCTGGTGTCAGTGTGTGACTAGAGCAACAGTCTTTAAAGAGAAGGTCACTAAGGAGCAGCACTTGGTCTGGAACTACTGGGATGTGAAGGAACAAAAACTTAAAATAAAACAAAAAGAAGGATTTTTAATGTGGCAGCGACTATTTCATGTGCGCCCCCCCCCCCTTTAACGAATAATCCTGAAACCTCACATCCCTGTGTGGACCTCCGCTCCAAACCCATTCACAGAAAAAAACCTCCAAACAAGGACGGCTGGTTTTCAGTGGCTGCAACGGACCAATCAGAAGGCCCGACCGGCGGCAGACCCAGCCCGCCTGCCGCTCCCGAGCCACGACCAGCCGCCTCGAGAGAGAGAGAGAGAGAGAGGGAGAGAGAGAGGGAGAGACAGAGAGAGAGAGAGAGAGACAGAGAGAGAGAGAGACAGGATTCAGGTGTGGCAGTGGAAAGACTCAAGATTGGTACTCAAACAGTGTGGGACTGGGTTTAACACAGTATTGGTTCAGTGTGCACGTGCACACGCACGCACGCACGCACACATACACTCAAAGGAACACGGCTGGTAGGGAGTCCTCCTAGAAACAGTCACATGATAACGAGGGTTTAGGGGGTTAGTGTGTGTGTGTGTGTGTGTGTGTGTGTGTGTGTGTGTGTGTGTGTGTGTAGTGGTGGAGATCTGAATGTATGTGTGTGTGTGTGCACAACTCAAGCATGTGGAGCATGTGTTGGGATGTGTGTGTTGTGCTCGTCAGTGTGTGAGACTGAGTTTTAGGCCAGTCTAGTTTCCTTTTCCTCCTCAGAGTCGACCTGGTCTGATATGTGAGAACTAAAAATCTGCTCTGAAACAGAACAGCTCAAACTCCATTATCCACAATTCCTTTTGCAGCAGCTTTGTCAGACAGACAGCCGGGTCAGCTGTAATGCTGTGTTTTTTTTTTTTTTTTTTTTTTTTTTTTTTTTTGTCTTTTTTTTTTTGTCTTTTTTTCTGTTTTTGTTTTTTTGAGAACCGGATGTTAGAGAACGTGTCGGCAGCGGCGGGTGTTTCTTCTCCTGTCGACGAGACGCCGCCGACAAACGACAACAAAACAAACATTCCAGACGAAGGAAGCAAAAATCAAAAATTAAAAAAACAAAAAAAAAAACAAAAAAAAAAACACAACAGATCTGAGAGCTGAAAGCAGCAATAACAATAATAATGATAATAATAATAATAACAATATAGTACTGGTGGAACCTTGTGTGGTCCTGTTTGAGGGGTTGTGGAAGAGAAACGTAGACAGAACCCAGAGAGAGGAACAATCTTTGAAGAGGAGCCGAGCTCTGAGCGAGCGGCTGCGAGGACCCTGACGACACCTCGCCCTCTCTGACGCACAGTAAATACACCTGGCCAAAAAACAAACAACAATGAGAGAGAGATAAATCATCAACAACAACGTAAAGGAAAAAAAAAAAAAAAACAGGACTCGTAATAGTTTGGATATCTTCTTGGGTGGAGGCGCGTGTAAACGTGGTCCGCCGTGGGGGGGCGGGGCGCTGCGGCCCTAGTCGGGCAGGCTCCGGGATGGCGGACTGGGTGACGGAAATTTTCAGGCAGTCACTTCGTTTTATTTCAGTCACTCTTGTCCTTCTGCGGTGACGCCGCCGCCTCCTCTTCCTCTCCTCCCATCCCTCCGTCCTCTAGAAGGGAGTCGTCGGCCTCGCCTCTCGTCTCCTCCTCCGCTCCCTCGTCCTTCTCCTCGGCCAAGTCACTCTCTCCTCCGCCGTCCTCCTCGTCCTCGTCCTCCTCCTCCTCTCCCGTAGCTTTCATCCCCTTCTCCTCCTCGTCTCTCAGGGGGTTTGTGGACACGGCGTTGCCCCCCAGCGCTCCGGCCATGGCGCTCTGCAGCTCGGCCAGGGTGGAGGCGGTGGGGAAGCCGGGCAGGCTGAGCCCGCCGAGGCCCGGAGGTAGGAACATGGAGGGGTAGAGGAGGCCGGGCGCCATGGTGGAGAGGAGGAAGGGGTTGAATGCCAGAGAATTGGCGGACATGCCGGCCGCAGCCAGCAGGGCGGCGGCATCGCCGTTGATGGACGCCTCAGCTGACGAATCAACGGCCGGGATCTGAGGAGCTGCGGTGACATCATTAACTGACTTCTCCACGCCCTCCTCGCTCTCCTTCACCATCTTCCTCTTTGCCTTCTTCACTCCTTCATTTCCCTCGGCCTCCTCCTCCACCTCCTTCTCTCCCCCCTCGCCGTCTTCTCCCTCTTTTTCCTCTCCCTGTCTCTTCTTCTTCCTCTTCGTCGTCACCGCTTCGTCGCTCTCTCCTCCCTCTCCCTCCATTGTTCCGTTTGTGTTCCCTGATGCGGTGGCGGCAGCGGCGGCGGAGTTGGACGCAGCGGCAGCAGCTGCGGCTGTCGCCAGGTTACCGCCAAACAGCCCGCCTAGGCTGAACATGTTGGGGAGGGCGGCGGCCATGTTGGGCAGGCCTCCCATGCCGGGCAGCATTAGGGGCAGCATGGAGGCAGCGGCGGCGCTGGCAGCGGCCTGCTTGGGGTCGGTGGGGGGAGGGAAGGCCATCAGACCAGCAGCCAACTGGAGAGACTGGAGGCTCTGGAGAGAAGACAGGTCCATCCCTCCAAACAGGCTGTTCAAGAGCAGAGGGTTGATGCCTCCTGGAGACACACACACACAGAGACACACAGAGAGACACACACACACACACACACACACACAGAGAGAGAGAGAGAGAGACAGACACACACACACGGTAAATATGGCGCTCTATAACCTTTAAGCACAAACAGACTGAAATGAAACGAATCCTTCACTTCTTCCTGTCAGGATCCTGAACTCAGTTCTCACTTTAAATTAGATATATATATATATTTATATATAAATTATATATTTTTTAAATTCAGTCATTTATTTATTCATATTATTTATTTACTACAGAAACTGCAACAAAATGTTATTTTTTATCCATTTTACTTGTTTTATTCTTATCTGCTTATTGCAGCATGTTGTTCCTTGTATTGATCATTGATCATCACTGCTGATCATCTCTGACACATAACTAAGAATTCTTGGGATTAATAAAGTTGTTTGAATCTGAGTCCATCTCCACTCAGACAGAAAGGTTCATAAATTACAGTTGCACCATTTCCTCCTCGACCCACATGCAGACTGTTGGTTCAGTTTTCCGCAGTATTTCTTTTGTACCTGCAGATGAAGCAGCAGTGGCCAGTGACGCCTGGGCGGCCTGAGCAGCAGCTGCTGCCTGGGCGGCGGCCGCTGCCTTGGCAATCTCAGATTTGGGTCGTCGCCCTCGGCGACGGACACCCTCTTCCCTGACGACGGGGCCGGTCAGAAGGCGATCGAACATAGCTTCTGGGAGGAAACCCTGCAGGGAGGAGGACCCCAGGTTAGAAACTCCCAGCTGGAGCCAGAGGAAACAACAATGCAGCAGTTTTCAGGAGAGATGTTCAGCAGCTGCACAGGTCGCGTCTCACTCACCGACTGTTTGACGATGTCTGTCCAATCAGGGGCGATAGAAAACTCTGGGTTCTCTATTAGCCATCTGGGAAGCTCCTTCATTGGTGGAGCCATGGCCCCGCCCATCTAAAGAACAGGAGGATGAAATGAGTTTCTCTTGGTGGGGGAAATAAAACAAACAAACAAACAAAAAAAAAACAAACTAAACTAAACACGACCAAAACAATAAAAACAAAACAACAAAAACAAAACAAAAACAAAAAATCGATGCATGTAGAAACACACAATATCAACACACAGGCAGTGACCTCGACACGCCGCTCAATCAACACTTTATTACCCACGATGAAAAAGCAAAAACATGTTTAGAAATTTGTGCAAATGTATAAAAATGTAAAAACAGAATTCTAAAATTTACAAAAGTATTGAGGCCTTTAACTCAGTTCCTTTAGCAGCCATTACAGCTTCACAGGAAGTCTCCACAGGCCTCGCACATCTGGATTTTGATTTATATTATTGAGCTGACAAAGGTTGGTATTGATAATGTGGGTCTACTGGATTAATATAAAATATAAGGTTCCTTATGACTGTATCAGAATATTTTCCATAGACATAATGATCTATTTTTCACATCTAAAAACGGCCCCGCCCCCCGGCGTCCCAAACCCTCACACAGACGTTTAAAACTTAAACTCCATGAATATAGTACACAAACACACACACACACGCATGGAGATGGACCCCAATCGGGTTCTAAATGCATCATGGGTGAATAAAGCAAACACACACACCTGAACACACCATCCCCCACAGGAAGGGTCTGAATACTTGATTCTAAGAACATGTTTTCACTTTGTCATTATAGGTTATTGATTGTAGGTCGACGGGCAAAACCAGCAATTTTATTTCATTTAAGAAAAAAAAAACCATGTACAACAGGATAGAATGTGTAAAACGGGGGGCGGGTCTTGAAGACTTCCTGAACGCCGAGTTACCTTGCGTCCGTTGCGTCTGTTGACCACGGGCACTCGCTCGTCTCCAGTCAGGGTGTTGATGTCGATCTTGTTGGGGTTTCGACAGCGGTGGCGCTTCTGCTTGGGCTTGGAGAACTGAGACAGCAGCAGCTCCTCGCTCTTCTGCAGCAGCGAGATAACGGAGAGTTAGAGATGATGTATCGCACGGAAGGAAAGAAAACTGCTGTTAACACTCATATACAAAAGGTTTTAAGGTGGAAAGGAAAGACAGAGGAAGGAAGGAGGTTCTTTACTGGTGTCAGTCCAGCCATGTCCATGGTGTATGTCGGGTGCTGCCTCAGCCACTCTCCCAGCTCCTTGTTCGACACGGCCGCCTCTTCCTCCTCCAGGCTGCCGGAGGCCAGAGATCTGGCGCTGGGGCTCTGCTCGGGCACGGTGAGGGATCTGTGGGCACGGGCGGCGTCCTGAGCCGCCTCCGCAGCTGAGGCCTTTGTCCCGTCAGCATCATCCTGAACGTTCAGAGAGTAACACAGAGGAAGACATGGATTTAATGTAGATTCTTATTTACGACAAACAACCACATCCGTCTGTGTGCGGCGCTCTCCGTACCCCTCCGGCTCTCTTGTTGCCCATGAACAGCAGCTCCAGCCCCTCCACATTTTTCCTGCGGCCCCGCCTCCTCCTCATGATGGGCAGGTCGGCCTCCAGCGAACCGTTCGCTCTGTGTCCGGAGGGCGGGGCTTGCTGCAGCAACTCCATCTGGGCCTTGAGGGAAGGGCTCGTCACCAGGGCGCTGGGGAATCCGGCCAATGAGGGTGAGGCCTTGTGGTGATGCTGCATACACTGGGAAACAAAAACGATCCCTTGGTTAATAAACCTGAATTTATTTGAATAGAAATATTAATATTGGTTTTTGCAGGTGTGGTAATGTAGCTCCTAATAATGAACCGCACCTTGGTGAGGTCTATCGCCTGGCTCTGGGACTCGGCGGCGGCGTGGCTCTCCCTCAGCTGAGCCACCATCTCCATCAGGTTACGTCTCTTTGCTGCCCGCTCCGCCTCGATCTCGATCTTCCTCCTCCTCCTCCGCCGCCGCGGCACCGTCAGGCTCAGAGCGCCCTCCTGCAACATCAGGTCAACAGTCACACCTGTGTCTCACTGAGGAGTCACGTCACGTCGTGGTTACTGGTACTTCAGAGAGCGCCGATAATTAGCGTTAATGACATTAGCGGTATCTTTGGTTCCACACACAGAGCTAACAGGCTGAACCGACAGTCACATGTCTGTCGGACACAAACACTCACAGGAATCTGCGGCGATAGTGTTTTATCTTCACTTCCACTGTAAGGCGTGTGGATGCCCGCCAACGTCAGCTCGGCCAGGCTCCGCCTCTGCAGTGGGCTGTCAGTTGCCGTGGCTACAGCTGCTGCGGTTACTGCGGAGCTGTGCCCTGGCAACAGGTTGCTGGGGAAGTCAAAGATGTGGCGTCTGTTGACAGGCCACTTGCCCTTCAGGACGGCCTCGCAGATGTTATCCATCCTGTTAATCATCACTCGATCCTGAGGAGGAGAGAACGGAGAGAGGTGACGCACGACTCATCAAGGCGCTTTGGACAGACGCTGGTCTCAGTTTTCTTCTTCTGTACTTTAAATGCTGAAATAATTATCTCTATTCCTAATGTTCCTGTTTTGTATTTTTAATATATTCGACTGTATTTTAGGAAGGAGCAACCATCTTGATTAATTCATTATAATGATCAATTTCACTGAGATTCTGTTTTCACTCAACAACTAGTTCCACTTTGCTGTTTTTTCCAATCGAGTTAAGCTGCTGTCACTTCCTGTGCAGAAGTTTCACATTAAAATCCTCCCAGTGGTTGAAATGTCTTTAATACTGACGTGTACGTAATGTTTGTTTTTATTAAAGGAATCTAGAAAATAATAGAGAATAACTTTGGAACCAGACTTTCTCAGTGACCCGCCTTCATCCGTTCTTTCACACTCACCTTGGGCCAGAAGGAGAAGGCGTAGGTGCGGTCCTGTAAGGCCTGCAGCGCAGACGTCTCGGGCAGGTCGTCGGGGCAGAACCCGTCTCTGGTTTCGTCGCGGGCCGACGTGCTCAGAGACGCGATGCTCTCCTCGTCGAAGTTCTTCTGCTCCGACGCGGCGCTCGCTGCGCAGGGAGGAGAAAAGCCATTTTGTAACTCTTAATTAAAAAGGGTTTCCTCTTCATTACCAAGGGATCCAAACTCATTTCATTCTGTCGCCCTCTCTCTGGAACTGAAGACTCATTAAAACACTGCCAAGTCATGAGGGGAAACACCAGAAATAGGCCCGTGGTCAAGCGTGGTGTCAGCAACAATGATGGCCGACATCCAGGACAAATAAACATGAACAATAGGAATAAAAAAAAAAAAGGACAATTAAAGTAAGACTTTGAAAACATCCGTTACCTTCAGCCTGAGAGGATTTCTCTGATTTGTCGTCTTCATCCATCCTGTCCTCCTCTTCCTCCTCTGGGCTCTTCTCCGTGTCGGCTGACTTTGGAGATTTGGGAGACTCGGGGTTCTCCTTCTCCTCCCCGTCCTCCTCCCCCACAGTCTTGTGGTCCGGTTGTGCTTTGGGGGAGGACTCGGGTTGTTCTGAGGTCTCAGCGGTCGTCTCCTTCTCGTCCCTTGGAGAGTCGACAATACTCGAGCTCTTCTTCTCCTCCTCTGTCGAGTATTTATCTTCTTCATCTGCTGGCTTGGAGGTCTTCTCTTCTTCTCCGCTCTGCTCCTCTTTCAGCTCTTCCCCCTCCTCCTTTTCGACTTTTGGCTGGGCCTCCTCTTCCTCTTTCTTGACCTCCTTTCCTGGCGAAGCAGCGGTCTCATCTTTCCCTTTTCCAACCTCTCCCTCATTGTTCTTCTGTTCGTCGGGCGTTTCGGTCTTGGTACATGGAATGTCGTCGGTATCTCCTCCCTCCGTTTCCTTTTTCACCTCCATCTCCGTTTTCCCTTCCTCAGTCTTCACCTCTTTCGCTGCCTGAACAGCAATTTTGGCAGCAGCTGCAGCGCTCGCCAGCTCCGCGGTGGAGAGGAGAGGTGCAGCGGTGCTTTCAGCTGCTCCCATTCCGGCCTTGGTGCTCTCCCCCTGGGCTACAGCGCCGACGCCGGCGCCTCGCTGGCTGGTAGAGCGCTGGTGGGCCTCCAGGAAGTCCAACGTAGGGTCATTTAGGATGTGATAGTCTGTCCGGCTCACGCCGTGCTTGGAGGCCCCCAGAAGGAGGTCACGGTCATGGCGGCCACACTCCCACCACTCCGGGAGGTCTGAAGATGGCTGGCAGAGCTTGAGGCGCTCAGAGAGCAGGGGGTGGGGGAGGACCTGCTCTCGGATGCGGCGGAGCAGCTCGATGCGGTACAGGGTGCGAGAGGCCCGCTCCTCCGTGATGGGGTCGATGATCAGGGTCGGGTCTGGGAGTTCTGATGATAAAAGACAGAGACGGTCTTTAAGTCTTTAATAAGAACATCTTTCTCCCGTGCAAACTAACTTCTCTCGACACGTAACAGCGGCCGGCGTGTTTCCTCTTACCTGTTTCAGTCTTGACCTGCATTCTGCAGACACGTTTACACATGGCGATGAAGGAGTAGTAGTATTTCTCCAGGCTCTCGTCCGTTTTCTTGTCCAGTCGGGCAAAGGCCCTGAACTGCGTCCAGTCAAATTTCTGCCGCTGGGTGTCAAAGACGACACCGAAGGTGGAAACGACGCGGTAGAAATCGGCCTCCTCACGACGAGTCCATCTGACGGAGAAACACCAGAGAAAAGGTTCAACTAACAAAAGTAACTTCATTTTATTCTTCAGTTCTTTACAGAAAGGTGTTACAGGTGTTTCATTTAATGTTGTGTTGAATAAACCTGATTATGTGAGTAAATGTACCTCTGTCTTCTCTCCTTGTAGTACATGGCTCCGTCAGCCATCAGGGAGCTGGCGGTCATCACTGGCGAAGTCTCTGGCATTAACTGTCCACCTTTGGCAAAGTAAGCGCCTCCTTTCGCCAGATATGGGCTTCCTTCTGTCATGAACACCGCCGCTCCATCTTGGATGTAAGCTGCGCCGCCTCCTGTCTCAGTAACCACGGGGACGGAAGGCAGGAACTCCCTGCGGCGACGGCGGCGTCCGTCCGGCCGGTTGAGGGCCTCCTGGCGGAGCTGCTCTCTCCGGTTGGAGCGCTGGTAGGCCGTGATGAGGCGTCGCAGACGAGCCGTCAGAGCTGAGGCTGCTGGCCAATACAGTCGCTCGTTGGGGCCCGAAGCTCCGCCCCCAGTAGTTGCACTTTGATTGTTTTCACCTGATTTAGCTACAGAGACGAGAGAGTGACGATGAGGCAAGAAGAAAAACTCACAGCTGTTAAAACCGAATAGTATCTTCATCAGGGCCGTGACATTAAAACACGTTCTTCCATCTTTAACGTTGTATTTCATGTATTTTGTTTCTGATGAACTGAAGTGACGTGAGTTTTGTGGTTTTCAGTCTTTATCATTTGTATAAAATCTAAACTCTGCTGTTTGTGCTGAACACTGACTGATAACTACAGTTTTCGTGTCAAGGACAATGTTCAGTTTCTGTCGGATGACGTGTGAATAATTCAGCTTCACTTGCAGCTTTCAGCCGTTTACCTTCAGCCTCTCCCTCCGCGGCGTCGTCTTTGTCGTCCAGTGGAGAGTTGGTGAAGTCGTCCATGTCATCTTTGAAAGGCATTCGCAGTGGCTTGTACTCTGGATCCTCATCCTCACTGTGAAGGATCGAAGGGACAGACAGAAAATTTTACTTTCCATCTCACGGAAGCGGCAGATTTCAACATTTCACAAACTTGCGACTTTCTGTTGTGAAACTTAAAAAAGCTCCGAAAACTAAAACAAAAAAAGGACAAAGAACAGAGTAACAAAGCAAAGTAAAGCTGGAGGTCAACTACACCTCCTCTCATTGACTCCTCTTTCAGGAACTGGAATAATCGTGGCTTTTTGCTTTAAATCATTTACTGCTCAGACTCCAAGGATCCACGGCGCCGCCAGGAAACGTCACAAGAGAAGTGGGAAGTGTTCGAGTGGAAAAACAGGGAAGGTGCAGGAAAGTGTAGGAAAGGGGGAGGGGGGGGCAAGTGGTCAGTGAAGCCTGTTCTCTTACCCCTCCACGCCATCTGCCATCATGTCGGAGCCCCTCTGCTCAGCGGCGATGGCCTTGGCGTCCGGCATGCCCACCCTCTCCAAGAAACACAGGGAGGGGTCGGCTCGCATCGAGTTGTACTTCTCATATCCTGAGGAGGACGACAACAACAACAACAGAAAGGTGAGGAGGAATACAGAAGAGACTATAAAATGTCCGGTAACCAATCAGAGAGAAGTCCAGTTAGTTTCAGGAAGTACTGGTCAACACACAGAGAGCAACACAAGCTCCTCTTCAACAGGAGGGTGAGAGAGAAGCTGTGCCTTCTAGATCACACACACACACACACACACACACACACACACACACACACACACACACAGCATCCATATTAAATGAAGGAATAGACAAAAACTGCAGCAGAAGGGCAGACCCCAGGAGCCAGCTGCTGACAAGACAGACAGCCTGTGTGTGTGTGTCTGTGTGTGTCTGTGTTTGTGTGTGTGTTTGTGTATGTACACTCGCCTCAGTCCTGCATGTGTGTGTGTGTTTGTGTGTGTGTGCTTATCCAAGTGAGCCTGCAGGTGCTCATTTGTGTCAGATAGAGAGAGAGAAAGAGAGAGAGGTGGGAGGAGGGGAGAGAGGATGAAGAGGAAAAAAGTGTGTGTCATGAAGTCTGTGAAACTGAGCTAGTGGGTGTGAGAAACGTAGTGTGTGTGTGTGTGTGTGTGTGTGTGTGTGTGTGTGTGTGTCCGTTAGGGGCGTTCAGGCAGAACAGATTAGAATGTGCAGGTCCTACTGAGACACATTGGGAACGGGGGGGTGGGTGAGTAGGGATGGGTGTGTGTGTGTGTGTGTGTGTGTGTGTGTGTGTGTGTGTGTGTGTGTGTGTGTCTGTGTGCGTGTGTGTGTGTGTGGGGGGGGGTTTAAAAAACAGGACTATAAGAAATGAGGAGAGGACAGGAGGTGGCTGCTGGGGAGTAAAGGGGGCACGCCGCCTCTCCTCCAACCTCTCCCATCCCTCCATCCTTCTTTCACACCATCACAGTTCAATTAGGAAAAATGTTGGTAACCTCCTCTGTCTCACACACACACACTGTTTTGTCTGTCCTCCGCCACCAAGTAAAGGCTAGTGAATGAGGATTATGATTAACTATGGGTGAGTCCTTTTGTATTCCTGTGTGTGTGTGTGTGTGTGTGTGTGTGTGTGTGTGTGTGTCCTAATAGACTCATAGAGGGTGGTGATGGAAAAATTATGACAATTATGCCAAATTAATATGAATGAGGGTCTCCGCGCACACAACAATTAGCCTCATCCGTGTGTCACTGGGAGTCACATCCAGTCTCACAAGTCAGCACCCAAAGGTGGGTCACGGGCACGTTAACACAACCGGCACGTTTTCCAACTGACGATCCAAAATAACAGTGAAGAGATCTGGTCATTATAACTTTGAGATGAGCTTTTTACAACATTAACACCTGTGACACCTACACATCCACATCCACACACACACACACACACACACACACACACACACACACACACACACACACACACTCAGTCGTAGCCAGTGGTAAAACCAGCAATCAATCATACTCCTGATAGCACACTGAGCCTACCAGCTGCGTACCGCTATCGCCATAGCAACACCAATCAACTGGTGGCAGCAGAGGTGGGTGGGATGTGTTTGTGTGTGCACGCTCACCCAGTTTGACTACGATGTGTGTGTGTGTGTGTGGTTGAATGATGCTCACTGGGTCGGAAGCCACTGGAGTGAGTGAGTGAGTGAGTGAGTGTGTGTGTGTGTGTGTGTGTGTGTGTGTGTGTGTGTGTGTGAGAGAGAGAGAGAGAGACGGCAGCCATGTTGGAAGATTTAGATCTGTATGTAGAACGTTTCTCACCGTGTTTGAAGACGCCGATGAGCAGGGATTTGTCGGCCTCGCTGTCCCACCAGTCGGCCGGGACCTCGGCGTGGAACGGCTGGGGAATCCAGATATCCAGCTCGCTGCGGCAGACACAAACATATCACATTACTGATAATCAAACTTAACTGGTCGTGTGTGTTCAATTTGCTTCGGTACGGCGACAGTCTTGTATTTCAATAATCATAATAATCATCGTAATGAGGGAAAGAGAAAAGGGGACAGCAGAAATTAGATTACCATCCATTTGTGCCGTAATCAGATTGTGAAAACTGTCAGCCGCCAACCAAAGATAAAAACTATTTTCCAACAAATTCAATTAGTATTAATGTGCAAACAGCTGGGAGTTGTATTCCGTTACGGTTTTGCTCAGTTACGTCGTGCAGCTGCACCTCAAAGTGAAGAAACCTCAATATTTAACCCTCACAGCAGTAAATTACACGCAAATCGTGATCTAAACAGGAAGTAGCGCTTTGGTGGCATCCGTTTTGTTGTCATGGAAATGTCGGAGATTAGAGAAACTGACAATAAAAAGGTGAAATGGAGGTTTGGAGAAACGGAACGTAATCACTGCACCGAAACAACCTCGGTGTTTATCCTCCAATACTACTAGAGATTCACCGATCAATCGTCAGGTGATCGGAAAAAAGGAAGGTGTTCCGATTATCCCAGATGTCTAATTTACACTCATGTGCCGCATGATGGTTCACACACACACACACACACACACACACACGCTGTCGCCGTGGAAGATCTTCACCGCGAGTGAAGACGCTGCACCTGTAAGCCGTGGATGAACAACCACCAAAACTTAAATCAGACACTTGAACACATCACCCCGCCAAACATGTCCGACTTCAAGAAGCTAGCAAAGCAGCTAAATGTAGCGCCACGCCGCTGACCTCACCTCACCACCGCACTTCTCCTACAAACTGTTTGCGCAGCCGTCGGTGAATCTCTCCACACTGCTGCGCTCTCTCTCTCCAAGATGCTGCATCTGCTCCCGGCAGCAGGATCAGCACCTTGCAGAGACAAATACACCACGACGGAAATGCGATAGTCTCAGAGAGAGGCTAAAGAAACAATATCTCCACTGATATTACTTTGGACATGGTCACTGGCGTTACTGTTCTGTTTCTAGTGGTTTGCAGTTCACTGAAGGAGTCGTAGCAGCAGAGCCTCGGTTTGTTTTGAGCGAGAGAGAACTTTAAAAGATACAAAAATAGTGTTGGAGACTGGTCTCCCCCCAGAAAATATTTAATTTAATTTAAATAAATGAATCAAAGTGGAGAAACAAACCCCTGTACTAGTGTTGATTAGTTCGGCCGAGGAGCTACGAAAACTAAGAATGCGTCAACAACAGTCCACATGAGAAGAACGGCTGCTTCATATTTGAATTTATAAAAACATCATGTAGCTAGAACGTGGCAGGCTGCAGGCTAGGAGACCGCCTTCAAGGTCAAACAAGAACCAACAGTTTCTATAAATGAAGTATCCTCACACACAGTATGATCGATTAAACCTGGTGAAACAAAGTGAAACCTGAAGGTTTGTTCTTGTTACGTTCAAAGTCGAACTGCTGGAAAACTACAAATATTCTAGATGAATGAAATGGCCTCACAACAACAACAACAACAACAACAACAACAACCTAATTCCAACGCCACCCGTCTATTTTACACTCAAATCACCTCAAATGTCAAGATTACCGTTTCTCACGGTCTAGACCTGCACATTACACATCAATTCATGACATCATAACCTGCTACGTGCGGCTCGCTCGGCGGTGGACAATGTCAGACAGAGGGCGCCGAACACAATGGAAACAATGTAGAAAAATCCATTATTGATGTTTTTTATCCACAAGCAGAGGAATAATTTGTTGTTTTCTTAAAGATTTCACAGCATTTATTAATTAAATTAGTCTCATTTTAACGTTTGACTTAAAATCTTATAAAATCTGATTTTACTATTATCAACAATTTCTTACTTTCACCGTAAATGTATAAACATCCCATCAACCTTTATTCTTTGATTTTATAAGGATCTAAAATAAAATCTACACATTATACCGTCACAATAAATAAACTCTACTAGGAGCTTGCAGGTGTTGCTCTCACGCATTTTTGAAATTACAAAAACCCGATCAACCAAAACCAGATATCTGGTCAAGAACAGCATTATTCATGCAGGGAAATAAAAACAGTTTCTGCAGGATAAATTCTGTGTCCAAACAAATCGAAAAGAAAAATGGTGCTTCCTGCTAGTTATGAAGAGAAAGGGTACAATACACAATGGACGTAGAAAGTCTGAGGGTGTCAGGAGGAGAGAAGAAACCGGGAAATAGTCTCTTATCTCTGCAAACAGCAGCATGCGCGGTCTTGGCAACGCACACATACGCGTGCGCGCCAAGACTGGCATGCTAAATCCCCCTGGCATATGTTGGCATGATAGCACCCCGTATGCTCACGTCTGGTGTACACACACACACACACACACACACACACAGGGTCTGTCACAGTAGCCATTGGGTGGGGGGAGGGAAAGAGGGGAGGGGAGGGAGAGGGAGAGATCAACATGAAGTGCATGTGCTCCAAATTATAAATGCATTCACATCTGGGTGAAAGGGTGATGGGAGAGGGGGGTGGGAGATGATCATAGGCTGAAGTACGCTGCAGAGAGAGAGAGAGAGAGAGAGAGAGAGAGAGAGAGAGAGAGAGAGAGAGAGAGAGAGAGAGAGATGCCAAGAAAAGTGCAGAGTGATGGAGAAAGAGATCGAGGAAGCGGCGAACGAGCCGTCAGAAAGAGATCAAGGAAACAGTCAAGGTGAGCAGCACCATCCAACCTCCACATCAACACGGCGGCTCTGAGAGACCCTGCGCCAAATGATAACAGGCCATAGCTTATTAAACAGTCAGAAGAGCTTATTTCCCCCCCGATAAACCAACTGGCGTGTTGTATCTGCCACAACAGGAAGAGGTCACTAGTACGGGGAGGAAACACATGCACACAGAAAACTGAGTCTAAAGACAGAAAAGTGTCTCCTTTGTTCCTACGACGTGGTGAAACGGACACTACAATGAAGACAGAAAGGAAGAAGTATGGAGTTTCCACCAACCTGGAGTCGCCTCCTTCCAGGATGCGCTCGGCCTGGTCGCCGATGACTTCCTGTCTCAGATAATACAGCATCCTCACCCTCAGCAACACCCTGAGAAACAGTCAAACAGCGAGAGAGTTAGTGAGGTTAGGAGTGTTGTCTGATGTCTGATGTAGATTCCTGAGGTTGGAACATCTGCAATAGATTAGATGTTTTGTCTGTTTGTAAAAGATATTTTACTTACAACAAAAGAAAATCCTAAAATTGAAGAAGCTGGAACCAGAAACGGCTTAAAAACAATGAATCAAGGATCTAAATTTACTCCTGATTATTTGTCTGTTGATGGACTAATGGGCTCTTTAACTTAAATAATGTTTGATTTCCTCTATTCTGAATAAAATGTCATAAGAGCTACTGAAGTCCTGATAACAGCGTTCACACTGGACGGACTTCACTGGAGGATCCGCTGTAAAGCAGCTGAAAGGTGCAACTTCCTCAAACACTGTCAAAAAAAATAGTCTTTGATCTTAGATAGAAAATATCCTGAGAGGTTTTTCTGGTTGGAAAAACTATAATTCATTCATTTCAGCGTTTTGTACTGCTGATGTTGAATAGATGGTCATCTCCTGTGGATACAGATTACAGATGTTCCTGGTGCTCAGTCACTCAACCTCCGCCAAGGTGAAATATTTATTTATTCATATTTTGGGGGCAGTTTTTGTTTTTAGTGCAGAGAGACAGGAAATACAGTAGAGAGAGAGAGAGAGAGAGAGAGTGGGGGGGGGGGACTTGGAGACGAGGGGCGGGAGTGGAACCAGGGACATGCTGTCCATATGGTATGTGCCCTAACCACTCGGCCATCAGGACGAGCCGCCAAGGCGAAATATTGACGAGTATCTGGGATTAAATGCCTCGTCTCCCTATGTTGAGGAAATTGATAAAACAATTCCTGGCTCTGCCCCTTTAACTGGATCCACACCGAATCAGACACGTGTGAAAACATAACCTGTTTGGCAGAGGAAATCACTCTCCTCCAGTAAAACGAATCACTTCAGTCAAATGCTGGAGAGTGAGAGTCGGATCTGATCTCCCGACACCGGAAAAACACGGCTCTCTTGGAGATCTGCTTCACTGTAAACATTTGTCACCAGATTTGTCACCAGGATTTAATGCCAATAATGGCGTTTGGAGCAGAGGACAGAGGAGGAGAGGAGGGGAGGTGGGGGGTTGGGAGGAGGAGATGAGGGGGAGGAGCAGAGAAGGGGAAAAAAAACAAACAAAAAAACTGAAGGGTTATAGAGCCGTGGCACGAAAGGAGGGAATAAAAGTTTAGTTTGGGGGGTTAAAGACAGTCATTTGCAACTTACTCTGCAGTGTGTGTCTGTTTGTGCATCAAGTTGCAAGTTGGACAAGTTGCAGTGTGTGTGTGTGTGTGTGTGTGTGTGTGTGTGTGTGTGTGTGTGTGTGTGTGTGTGTGTGTGTGGGGTTGTTGGCAGGCTGTGTCTGCTCATCCATCAATGTGCCAGGCCTGATTAGCCACACAACGCTGTGCTTCAGCCTAGCAGATGGCACCACATAATCACCCCCAAGTGTGTGTGTGTGTTTATGTGTGTGTGCTTGTGTGTGTCTTTCACCCACTTCCAACAGGTCTGCCTGCCTAGCACCTGGCCTGGCACACAGCCAGACACACACACACACACACACACACACTCACACACAAAAAAACAAAGTTCCCCCCTCAAGAAGAAAAAAAAAAAATCTTGGAATTGAAGCCGGAGGGCAAGGAAGCATATCTCCCTGACAACAGGAGAGAGAGCTGACCACAAAGCAAGTGTGTGTGTGTGTGTGTATGTGTGTGTGTGTGTGTGTGTGTGTGTGTGAGTGAGAGAGAGACTGAGTGAGTGAGTGAGTGAGAGAGAGAGAGGAAGTAGACAGGGAAACTGCCGCCTTCTTCTGAAATTGTGCAGGAAACATCACATCTGCCACATGTGTCTACGTCCTGGTTTTACAGCCCCCGTTCAACCCACATCAGTTTGGTTGCCACGGAAATTTCCACTGTGGGAACATTAATCCAACCAATGATACTTTAGGAAACTGTTCGTGGCGCCGCAAAAATATTAAACATGAATGTTTTGGCCACTAGCGATCACGGTGTTTCAGGTGTAGGTGTAGGTGTGTGTAGGTGTAGGTGTGTGTGTGTGTGTGACTGTGTGGGGTAACTACTTGTTACAGTGATGTTTCAGGTGTCTCTTGTAGCTGTCCTCCTGCAGTAAGTGGTCAGGATTGCAGCTCGCCAGCCAATCGGCTCGTGGCGTCTGTGGAGGCGGGGCCGCAGGCTTCCCCTTCTTGCCCTTCCTACCCCGAGGAACTGGAGTAGAGAGACCTGGGGACAAAAAGCTTTGTTTACACTTTAGCTCAGTGAAGTGTTAGCTCAACAATCAGCTCAATACCACACGTGACGAGCTACTTTAAAAAAGCTCTGCAGTGAATCAGCTGTTCATATCATCATCAGTCTTTGGACTAATTTATCAATGGTTTGACAGCAGCCCTGCAATCATATATACTGTGTCTGTAATGTAATCAGATGTGTGTGTGTGTGTGTGTGTTACCTGAGTGGTTGGTCAGCGTCCTGGTGGTCCCATCTGCACTCGGGGTGATCAGGTCCCAGATGAAGCTCTTGATGTTCTCGTCTCCACGGTAATGCAGCAGGCAGTAGGCCAGCAGGGCTCTGCAGATGGTTTCCACGTCGGCCTCCTTCAGGGGGCGCTTGAAGCGACCGTGAGTCAGGATGTCAGTCCACCTTCCCCAGCTGAGGAGACACGGAGAGACAGGAAGGGGAGAAGCCCGTCAGCATCACTGCACTACATACACTTCATTGACTGATACGGACGGCGAGAAGATTTTCAAGCTAAAGCTCCATATTCTCTTCTTCTTCTTCTTCTTCTGTGTTTTATTTGAAGTGTTGATCCATAAGAAGATATAAAAACCATCTCAGTGTAGTTTTACATCTCCTCTCTCAGGCTTCTCTCTGGAGCTCTGGTAACAACAGGTCGGTGAGCCAATCAGAAGAGAGGAGGCTCTGAGCCTCTCTTCTGATTGGCTGACTGTTTTCTGAGTGATCCAATAAAAATAAAGCAGATTTCAGGTTAAAAACACTCAGAGAAACCAAATCCTGCAAGGTTTGGATGGTGGGTCCAGGTGGGCGGGGCTTGGTGACTGCTTTGTTGTGACATCACAAAGTTCCAGAAGTCCTGACGGCTGGTTTTAAGGCTCAGTTTCTGAATACAGGCTGTGTGCATTTCTCTGTGGACTGAGGCTTTGATACTTTCACAGTATTAATATAGAAGCTAGAGCTGATCTATAATCACACTACACATGGACACAGACCTTTACACTGGAGGAGCTTTAAAAAAAAAGAAAAAAATGAATGTATGCTCTGGGATGCCGAGGTGAACTCTGGAATAGTGAAATAATTATTTTACTAAGTCTGTCAGACAGTTTGTAATCCTGTGCCACACTACTCACTCACATGACCCTGATCTTTCATGTGTATACACACACACACACACACACACACACACACACACACACACACACGCCCAAATAATTTTTTTCTGCATCCGAGACATCCATCACACTCCAGTAGCAGACACTGCTGAGTGCTGGGCTCTCATCCCTCTCTGCGTGAGTGTGTGTGTGTGTGTGTGTGTGTGTGTGTGTGTGTGTGTGTGTTCCCAGTCGAACCTGCCCCCCCCCCACCACCTCCACCAGAGACCGAGCGACCCTACAGTCTGACGTGGTGGTCCGGTTCTCGACCAAAAATTTTTCCACTGCTGTTCCCCAATCTTCACTGAACCATGTGAACCAGGATTACACTGGACTATTTCAGAAAGGGTAAAATGGTGGGTAAGGGTGAGCGAGCGATAGAGAGAGAGAGCGAGAGAGAGAGAGAGAGAGAGCGAGGGCTGATGGGAAAAGACAACAGAGTGCTGAGTGGAGAGGACGGGCCCAGTCAGTGTGTCCTACAGCCTCGGGCCACAAGACTAGACTGTAACAATAACAACGCTGACATCTCACTAGCACAACTCTTCTTTCTTACACACACAGTCACACACACAGACACACACACACACACACACAGTCACGCCAAGTCAACCGTGAAAATGGCCGCGTTCACCAGATAATCACTATCTGTGGTAAGTGTGTCAATTTGCCTGTGTGTGCAGTATACTGTGCTCCTATCTCTGACGACTGTACGGGGTTTGTTTTGTTCAACTACACGTCCGAGTTAAGATGCACGGATTAACAGAAACTTAAGTTATGTCCGAGTTAATTAAAACGTCGTTATTTAGATCTAAATAAACCAGAAATAAATTCAGAGCTGACGGGAAGCGCCTGAAGAGAATCTGGATGTATTTTTTTTGTTGTTTTTTTAAAGTTTAAAAAGTGTGTGACAGGCTTATCATTAGTCAGCCGTCTGTATGTGAGATTAAAACCTGTCCCGTGCTCTCCAAGGTCACTGTGTGCGCACTACAATGAGCACGCCTGCAGTATACCAGTGTGTGTGTGTGTGTGTGTGTGTGTGTATGATTGTGTTTGCAGGCAGCACCGATTATTATTGACCATGTGCGTGTCGACGGCCTTGAGGCGCGAGATGTCTTTCTACTAAATCACTGCCTGCGCAGGTCTGCATCTATTAACACACACATTAGCAGAGTGATGAACTCCATCCGGCTGCATGACTCCACATCCACCACAACTATTCTCTCTTCTCCTTTTCCTATTGAATTCTCTGCTTCAGTGATGTTTTGTTCCGACACAGTCCTTTCATGTCGGACTTTTACTTTTCATACCTGTTGTATTTAAAACAAATGATAAGCTGAATGGAGCTTTAATTCCATTTGCATTATTATTCTCAGGGTCCTTTGATCCTCCTTCATACGTGTCATCGCTGTATGTTTAAAAAGGAACAGTTCAACACCGGAGTTAGCTTAAAGTTAACTTTAAGTTCCTCCAGAAACGTTTTAAACTCTGTGATTCATATTTTGTTAAAAAGGTTTTCACACATAAAAAGTGTAAAAACAAAAATCAAAATCTGGGTCTGAAGCTCATCTCCTCTCACTTCCTGATTGAGAACTCTGGGTCAGGCCTGTGGCCCCGCCCACCACCTGCTGGCTCCAGGTGGACAGGTGAAAGAGCAGAGAGTATGAAGATGGTGAGAGGAGGAAACATCAGAGAGACTCAGCCACATGTTTGAGCCTCAGTCAGACCCAGACTCAGAGGAGGAGTCTGAGACCAGAACCAGAGACTAGCAGACGGGTCAGACTGGCTAGCACAGTTAGCATCTTTTTAATCTTTTTATGTTGTTTGTTAGTTTGTAACTGGCAGTGGCTGACACAGTCTTAGTGGCTGTGCTAATGCTAACTCTCTCTCTCTCTCTCTGTACTGAGGAGGTTTCAGGTTTATTTAGCCCCGCCCCCCTTTCCCCACAAGTACCTAATTTATTGAATCATTCATGTATCATTGAGTAGGAAACTTGTGACTGACCCGTAAACCAGCAGGTTCTTCTCCACTCTGAAGCACTCAGATCGGGGGTACCCCTGGGCTTTGTCTTGGGGCCGTCGAGGTTTGGACGAGGGTTTGCTCGGTTCGTCCTCGTCGCTCTCCAGCTCCGAGAACTCCAGCATCTCCTCCTCTTTGACGCTGCTGTAGTGCCGCGTCTGCTTCCTCACCCTCGGCGTGTCGATCACCAGCGTGTTCTGGAGAGAAACCGAATGGAGAAAACGTTTAGTCTGCATCTCTTTATGGCCAAGACTGTTTTGTGTTTTTCCCAGCAAGAACGTGGTTTCAATTACAGATGGCCTGAAATCTACCGATGCTGCTTTATTCCTGTAACGCGGCCTGTTTGTAAATTCTTCCTCATGAACCATGTGACTATATGGAATCTGATTAGTTGGATATTTAGACCCATGTTTCATTTCCGATGCTGAGAAAATTGGTTCCCAGCTCAAACATAAACTGACATTAATTATGTTGTCTAATGAATTACACTTTTGTTCAATTAATTTGATCCCCCCCCCCGCCCTCTTACAGTCCCATTAATGTGTGCAAACAGGGCAGTAGTTAGTTCCACAATTATCACACGGCGCTGCAGTCGTTTCCATTTTAACGTCACACGTTAAAAGAGAAATCTGCGGCGAGCGGCCGGTGTTGGAGTAAGTGTGTCAGCGTAGGGTCCTAAGAAAACAAGTGAGCAAATATAAAGAGGGAAGGAGAGGAAGAGTATGAAGACGCCTGTTCGCAGAGCGTCTCAGTGTGTGCGGAAGAATGTGATTCAGATTGTGTGTGTGTGTGTGTGTGTGTGTGTGTGTGTGTGTGTGTGTGTGAGAGCGCTTGCCTAAGTGATATCTCTGTACCCTCCAAGCATCTGTGCTCTGTTAAGTGGAGCTAAGCAGCTTACGCTCTCTCACTCAAACACACACACTCAAACACACACACACACCACACACACAAGCAGGGAAACATGGGTAATTAAGGAAGAGAGGAGATTTTCAACTGTCAATATTAATCTCTCTCTCTGCCTCCCTCCTGTTCTCTCTCTCTTTCCTCTCCCAAACAAATTCCCACTGCTCGTCCCCTTTCAATAAGGGGGACGCCACCGTGTGTATGTGTGTGTGTGTGTGTGTGTGTGTGTGTGTGTGTGTGTGTGTAGAGCCTCTTTTCCACTGGTCAAAAGAAACCCGCTAAGACCCGCTAACATCGGGCTTTTGTCCGCGATGGAAAAGGGAACAATCGGCATTCACGCCCGGGTCACATGACTCTGCAGTAGACTTGTTTACATCAATGCCGATCAGAGCTGATAAATACCCAACACCAGAAACACCGCGGCTACGAAAGAGCGATAGCTTTAAAAAAGAAAAAAAAAAAACACACACAACAACTTTGACGCTTTAACAGGAGCATCAACTCGAGGTTGAGACTCGACAGATCTGTTCCACCAGTTCACACGGCAACTAGCAGCTTTATCCACTTTACTTTATCCTGTGTGTGTGTGTGTGTGTGTGTGTGCGCGTGTGTGTGTGTGTGTGTGTGTGTGTTTGTTTATTAATAGCAGGTTTATCCGAGTTTTAAAAACCCATTTACACCTGGGTGGGTGTAAGACTTTGTATGGATGCACGGTGCGATGTTCTCTGTCTGTGCTCTGTGAGTGGGTTTTACATTGCAGGTACTACAGGTGTTCACAGTATGAGTGTACAGTTGCAAGTGTGTGTGTGTGTGTGTGTGTTTGTTTGCGTATATTACTCGTCCATTGATGGCGTCCAGGTCCAGCTCAGCTTTCTTGGCCCATTTCTGCCAGAAGTCTGGATCCTCAAGAGAAATGTCCGTTCGGTTGCCGGTTGCAACAAAACTGGCCTGGAGACGAGGAGGAGGAGAACATGGTCAACGTCACGTCACACGTCATACAGTGTGAAGCAACTGTGCGAGTAGTTCAGTCGGAGTAAAGTTTTTTTTTTTACCTTAGCAAATGTCGAGCCCTTCCCCTCGGACTCTATGGTGATGGTGTGCGTTCGTCTCTGGAGGATCTGGTCGATGTCTTCCTCGCAGAATTTAGAGCCTTCGTCTTCCTCGTCCATCAGAGCGCCGTACGCTCCCTTTCTCAGCAAGTCCTCGATCTCCTTCTTGGACAGCTGCTGGACCTGGACCGCAGAGGGAAGCGTTTAGTTAAGGACAAATCAACCTGAAGTCATTGATGTTAGACAGCGGGTGTGTGAGAGGAGTCTCACCCCGCTGTTGGCGTTTTCCCGTCCGCTCATGCTCTGCAGCACGGCCTTGTCCAGCCCCAGCTTCAGACTGGCCTTGTCGAACATCTCCCTCTCGTAGCTGTTCCTGGTGATCAGGCGGTAGATCTTGACCGCCTTCGACTGGCCGATACGGTGACACCTGGCCTGCGCCTGGAGGGGAGGGAGGGAGGGGAGGGAGGGCAGAGCTTAAGAGTTTCATAAACGTTGTTTCTGCAAAGAATTTCACTTGTTTTTTCTGTTCGGCCAACAGGAGAGAGTCACAGGAGTGAGAGTCACAGGAGAGAGAGTCACAGGAGTGAGAGTCACAGGAGTGAGAGTCACAGGAGTGAGAGTCACAGGAGTGAGAGTCACAGGAAAGGACCGACGGCCGGTGTAATATCAGTCTTCTCGTACCTGCAGGTCGTTCTGAGGGTTCCAGTCAGAGTCGAAGATGATGCAGGTGTCGGCTGCGGTCAGGTTGATGCCCAGTCCTCCGGCTCTCGTACACAGCAGGAATACGAAACGGTCCGAGTCCGGTCTGGAGAACCGGTCGATGGCTGCCTGCCGCAGGTTACCGCGAACTCTGCCGTCTATGCGCTCATAGGGATATCTGGACACGTGTTTGGAGAACAGGTGTGAATCGCTTTGATTTGGCTCGGCACTGGGATCAAGAAGCGGTACAATTTGTGTCTTGTTCTCACCGTCTCTGGATCAGGTAATCCTCCAGGATGTCCAGACAGCGGACCATCTGACTGAACACCAGGACTCGGTGTCCTCCGGCCTTCAGTTTGGGCAGCAGCTTGTCGATGAGCACCAGCTTGCCGGCAGCCTGGATCATGGCCTGGAGAGCCATGTCCGGCATGTCGGCCCTGCCTCCTTGGGAGTCCCTGAATTCCTCAATGATCTTCTCTTCCGCTCCTAGACGAGAGGAAACAGCAAATACAAATCATCAGATAAGAAATGATCCGCCCGCCGAGTCTTTCTGCTGCGGCTTCGGAGGAGTTTGTGTACCATTAATGAGGTAGGGGTGGTTGCAGCATTTCCTCAGCTCCATCATGGTGTTGAGGAGGTTGGGTACGTTGGCTCCTCCCCCGCCGCCGCCACCTCCTCCTCCTCCTACACCTCCTTTGGACAAGAAGGAGAAGTTCTTCTCCAGAATGGCCCGATAGTATTTCTTCTGGATGTTGGTGAGCTCCACCTGACAACAGCAGCAACAGCAGATTAAATTTTTCTTTTTATTTCTTGAGACACGAGCATCTGAAACACTTGTTGAGTATTTCTAACAGGGTTTAAGCTTCAGCTGTTGTGACACCAGAGATCACAGTCCTGACCTCGATGATGGTCTCCTCCTTCGGGGCCAAGTTCTTCTCCACGTCCTCCTTCAGTCTTCTCAACATCATGGGCTTCAGAATGCCTTGCAGTTTCTGAACCTGAAACACACCAGAGGTGACGTTAACACTCACTGGGAATTGAGGAAACTGCACAGAACTTGGGTGGGGTGGGGGTGAGTTGACTATTTACCTGTTCTTCAGTCTTAAGGTCTCCAAATTCAGTCATGAATGTCTGCTCAGATGGGAATCTCTCCGGCTCCAGGAAGTTGAGTAAGCTGAAGAGCTCCTCCACAGTGTTCTGGAGGGGAGTTCCTGTCAACAGGACTTTGTGCTCCTGGAGGAGAAAGCAGGGACAGGAAAGACGTATTTAGAGTTTCTAAAATTGAAAGCAGGATGCCGACAGCATTCTAACCTCTGAAGAGGAGGACAGAGGAATTATATTATCATATAAAAACAGAGGCACTGGGCTAATTTGTCCAACTTTGAAAAACTTCCCGCTAGACAAAACATAATTAACTTATATCAAACAAACTATAAACACTAACCTCTTCCTGACTCCCTTTATTCCTGCGTTACAAACAAAGAGACCACAAACTCACCATGTCCATCATCTTGAGTCCTTCCAGTAGTTTGCAGTTTCTGTTTTTGAGGCGGTGGGCTTCATCTATCACCACGCAGCGCCACGGGATGCTGCGAAGCTCCGGACAGTCCGCCAGAATCATCTCAAAGGTTGTTATCACTGCGTGAAACCGATACGCTCCCTTTATTATCTTACCCTGGGGGGAGGGAGGCAGAAGGAAGAAGGGGAAAGAATGAAGGTTAATAAGAATGATCTAAAATGTATTTTGTTCCCAACTTCTTTTATTATCTTACCCAGTGGAGCTGGGAGGGAGAGAGTTTTAGGTCAAAAGTAACCGGGCCACAGCAGCTCCACACGTTAGTGAGGAGAAGTGGAGGCTCAAGATAAAGTCGCACTTGTGGCAGTCAACAACGGTATGAATGGTTTCACTGTGTTCCACCGGCTTTGTGTTCGTCTCCTGTGCTGCGACGCAAGTTCGACACACTCAGGATTATCTTCCCGTTATTTGGTTTCACCGAGCCCGATGACCGGTCACATGACGGCGCTTATCAACCCGGTAGGTCAACCCCGAGTTTTTCCCAGGCTAAAAAGCAACAAAGCCGCAGCTGCCAAGTGCAGGAAACACGGCTGGAGCAGATGAAAAACAAATATTACAACATAATCTGAAGAGGTAAAAGCACAAGCTCAAGGCTTTAGTGCTTCGATCAGACGCCGTTGTTGGATGAGGACGAGACGACTCATGATCTGTGCACAAGCCCTCCAACAGGATCCTCCACAAACGCCGACGCTTGATCTCGTGTCGTCTACAGCTCCACCCCTCTCCACAGCTTCGCACCGCAGCATATCAGCCAAGACTCAACCCTGCCCGTGGTATTTAGCGCCGACTGAAATATCGCAATTTCAGGTGGAACGATCATTTTTACGTTTCATTTTCACAAAAAAAAAAAAAATTGATTATTAAAAATGATTTTTGTTGCGTCTTGCTCCAAACGAACATGTTCCTTTTAGAAATATGATCTGTAGCATCACAACACGTGTGGTGCTGACAACACACAACAGGGAGACGCATTTTTACCTGCGTTAAAAGAAACTGCAGCTCCTGTGATTTGCATGTTACGATCTCGTTCGTGTTTTTGATTAATTGTGTATCGCTTCATCGCTTTACTGACAGCTGGTTCAGACTTTGCTGATTCAGGTGTGACTGAAACTGTGAATGTTATTATGCTGCAGAGGTGCGGCGTCAACACAAGTGGTATTACCCGCTTTCTTCTTGTGTTACTCTTCCACAAAGTACCTGTTCCAGCTAATAGAGAAATTAAATAAGACCCCAACAGCTCCTTTCTCAGTCTCCTGTATTTAGAGTATGAAATGTGTTTACACCGGTGAAGCACTGACTCACGGGTAAGTAATAATCATTTTCTTAACCAACAGGAGCCAGAAAATCAGCTTTACAGGAAGCGTTTATCAGCCTGGTCTCCGCCCGTTTACCTGTGCGTCTCTGTAGTACATCTCGTAGGCCTGGATGGTCTTGCGGCTGGCCTGGCTGCCGTGGTAGACCACCGCGTTGAGCTCGGTCCAGGTCCTGAACTCTCGCTCCCAGTTGGGGATCGTGGAGAGCGGGGCGATGACGAGGAACGGCCCCTCAATGCTCTTCATGTAAATCTCATAGAGGAACGTGATGGACTGGATGGTCTTCCCGAGACCCATCTCGTCAGCCAAGATACAGTTACGTCTGTGGAGGACAGAGGACGGGCAACACGGTGAGGGCGGCGTGCAGGATCCGCGTTTCTCGTTAATGTTTTTAATTCAGTGTCACTAAACCGGTAAAGACTGCAAGTTACCAAAGACTAGTCCCACGTCGGCCCTGCTGTAAAACCCCATGACTTTTACATGAGTCAATGATCTAAACCATCTAAAAGACTTTCCCTCCTGGTTTATTAATGCTGCTTTTCTAAAAGGGGAGAGTCTGTCTTCCACTCCACTGATCTAATGTAAAAAATGTGAGAATTTAGAAAACACTACTACTACTCCAACTGCTGGAAAACTCTCCCGTTTCTTATACGGAGAGATTATTGATTAATTTAATATTTCCACGACATTCAAGAAAATCTACAATATGACTTTAATGTCCGCTGAAGACTACGTCCACCTGCAGCTGGGGACTTCACCTTTACAAAAATGAAGATGAGCGGCGACTTACGAGTTGTACCAGTTGAAGGTTAGCCAGTTGAGACCTTCGAGCTGGTATTCCCTGAGTGTGTTGCTGTTCCTGTATTCTCTGGAGCCCTCCAGCTTCTTCCAGTCGGCTGCAGGAGGCCGATCCTAGACGCAGAGAAAATGATTTAGAAGGGTTATTAAATGGCACAGAGCTTCATTAATCCCTCTGATCAGTGCAGTGTGATGGTGGCTTTTTTTTGAAAGGGTGCAGATGGATTTAGATCTGGGTGTCACGGCAACGTCTGGAGCTGAATTACTCAATAAGGGGATTGATAGAAGATTTATCAACTTTTCTGATGCTCACATCTGAATGTTTTGTACGTATTTTCTTTTTTATATGTTTTATCTTATTTCATTAGCGCTCATTGTATCCAGAGCTTTCAATGACAGTAAAGGCTTTCTTCTTCTTCTTCTTCTTCCAAAGTGTGATGATTCGCTGATTTTGGAGTTTCTTATAAGACACTAAAAGTTACAGTAAACACGGTGCTTTCAGGGCGAGGAGGAAATTCCTTCTACTTTCTCACGAGAAGAGAAGATGGGGAAGTTTAATGTTCGCCACAAGTGGTCCAAACGTTGTGGAGATACGTTTCTGTCCGACCGACCGTCCCCCTCAACCACACTTCCTAGTTAAAAATATAACTGGCACCAAATACTGCCGCTGTGTGATGGAGCGCTTCTAACGTGGTCCTTAAGGAGAAACAGTAGGCAGTAGTTAAAAAGATGGACAGAGGGAAAAGAAAAGAGGGAAAGATCACAGCCAGTCAGCTGCTTCTGTTCAGCATTAAACACACTGTTAGTGGTTTGGACCGGCCACAGGAGCAGGGCGTGTGTGTGAGAATGTGTAAGACCACAAGAACGTGGCCCTGAGCAGAGCATTAAGGGAGCTGTAAATCTGCAGGAGGAGGGAGCCGGCAGCAGGCCAACGCACACACACGTGCACACGGCTACAAGGAGGCTGGGACACTGATAGCACCCAAAAGAGCGTCACACACTCACTAACACACACACACACACACACACACACACACACACACACACACACACACACTCACTAACACACACACACACACACACACACACACACACCTGCTCGATTATGGCGAAAAATCACAATCACGATTATTTAACAGGATTACTTATTGACTTTCTTGAACTTTAAATACAATTAAATGGAAAAACTAATAAAAAAACTAATAAATAATATATAATATCAAAATATATAATATAAAAATAAACTCAAAAGATACAACGACGCATCAACCAAGCTAATACCAAGCACTGCCAGAAAAGATAAAACATAAAATAATGATATAAGTTAAAGATGACGCAGTCCTACGTATGTTGCTAACGTACGCTGAAACGTAACCAGGAAGTGGGTGGAGGGGGGGTTTTTGGGGGGTTTTTTGTAGGTGGGATGAATTTTGTTGCGAAATCGTTTTATCTCGATCGTCTTTGTTTTCATAATGATCTGAAGCACAAAACTTACCACTCTCTTAGTGTTGGGTGTGCGTGCTGTGATGCGTTCAAACTCCTCTATCTTGGATTGCTCGATGTCGGCCTTCAGCTCCCAGGTGGAGTCTTCGTAAGGCAGGCTGCACCATTTCACCAGATATAAGGTCACCGTCTGCGCACAAACACGAGATCGCTTGGTGAGTGTGGAGAGAGACGAGAGAGAGAGAGAGAAAAGAGGCTCAAACCCGTGAAAGATGACAGGAAGAGATCAAAGCACCTCTCCGTTTTCATCTGTGCTCTCTGAAATGTCCAGGACACGGTCCACCTCCACATAGTCCGGGTTAAAAGGCTCGTCGTCCATCTGGAGGGAAAAGCAATTGGGAGTTTTACTGTTAGAACCGAGGAGACTGGTTTTTACGATAGGTGGGGCTCACGCCATATGTTCGGGGTGAGGTCGGCAGCGCGCGACTGCTGGAAACTGTTAATCTGAATCTTAGTTAGAGCTGCACAGACTTTAAACAATACGGCGAATAGTCCAAGTGATGCAGTTCTCAGTTGGTTTGACTCACGTTTGCACACTGGTTTCAGGAAGTAGTCAGACCCCTCTACTCTTTGCACACTTCTTATTATGTTGGAGATTTAATGTAAAAACTACAGACTACGGCGTAAGAGCGGTTCTTCCTTCTAGAGAAAACGTACAGACATAAAAATACAGAACACATCTCTTCGCGTCAGCAGCAGCAGCCATCTTGGTTGTTAATGAAAAATACTCCAGTAGCTGTTCTGTGTCAGTCATTGCCCCCAGTTTGGATTAATGGTTGTGATTAGTCCGACCTGTTTCTGGACAGATGTTAATCTATCTTTCATAAATTAAAGATTTCCGTTTTGTTTTTTCCCGCTAAATTTTCTAAAAAACCATCAACAATTAAACCTGGGGTCTGAATACTTTACGGAGCCACTGTAACGTAATGCAGTGTAAGGTAACGGGCTAACTGCGCTGCGCAGTCTCGGGTCTCACCTCAGTTATGAAGCTGTTGAG